GGAAATCCACAGGGCAGTTCTACTCTGTCCTATAGGGTCACTGTGAGTCAGAATTGGCTCAACGACAATGGGGTTAGGTACCTAAGAAACAGCTAGTACAGCTGCCACCCCTTCTCTCTGTCTCTCTCATGCATGCGTGTGCGTGCACACACACACACACACTCACAGCCTTTACAGCTGATAGACTGAGGTCCATTTAGGCCAAACTTTTTGTCTCAGGTGGCACAAGGAGTCATCAACAATCTCTGTTCCTTTTGCTTTATAATTAGCTTCTTTTCACTTATGTGATTTCAAGGGCCTCCAATAGTTTTACTCCAAAGTAAACGCATGTAGGCCTCCCATAGTTTTGAAGTTGTCATCATTAGTCAGTGCTTTATTCTAAGACATTTCCTCTTTAAAAAAAAACCCTAAAACACAAATACTTGGAACAGGTAACCATAACCTACCAAGAAGGCATGATCACATTATAATAGTAGTTTCCCCATTTATTTCTGGAAGAGAGGAAAGCCTGGAAGTCCTGGAAAGATGACATTTAATGGAAAAAGAAAGTATGGAAAAGATGTGAAGAACTAGGAAGAATAGTACTTAAGACATTCAGTCACTAGGGGATCGTGGACAGCCAGAGGGCAGTGTGGGTGCATTGAATTGCTGGTCACTGCCTTCACCTACAAAAACATGAGCAATGTAGATTTGGATTATAGAGACAAAAGGATGAAGAGAGGTGAATTTTACAGTGATTAAGGGAGTTAAACACTGTAGGTAAAAACTAGAAAAGTAACATAAAATGAGGAAGAAGAAAAGTTGAAATTAGTAAATTAGAAAATTGAAAAACAAAAATACACACAAAATATCTTTAGTAACCAAGTACAGTTTGGCCTTTCATTGCCTACCTGTTCCCCAGATTCAGTTGAATGTAGTGTGTAGTTTTTCAGGAGTTTCAGATGGAGTGAAGCGACTTTAATACACCACAGGAGATTATAAAAGACTGCTGTTTTAAACAACTGTTCTGAGTGTGGTGTTGATTTCTAACATGCTGCTGAACCATAACTTCCCATCGTTTTACACGGTTAACTCATGTCTTTAATCTACTTTTTCCTCATTCTAGACTATTCCATCAGTCTCCAAAACAGATTCCATAAGCCATTAAAGAATCATTTAGAGGGCTGGGTATTGCTAGTCTTCCCAGAATAACCAAAATGAGTTGTGTTTCCTTATACTGACATAATCTATCTTAAAAATACAGAGAAGAATTAGAACTCTTATTGTATTTTTAGGTGTTTACTCATGGAGCAACCAAAAGAAAGCCTCCTTTTTTTTTTCCGTTATGTTAGAACTTTACTTCCTTTGTCTGTACAGCTTAGTAAGGTGCATTTTGCTCCCCTTGTATACATATCAAGAAGCTTGCTCGGGGAGGTTAAGTAGCTTGCTAAATCAAACAGCTAGTAAGTGACAGATCCATAATAATTTGGATGGAAATTTTAAACAACTAGAATGGAAATAACGAGAATGTTGACATGATGTGAAGAATATAACCGCATCACTGAACAATTTCTGTAGAAATTATTGAATGGGAACCTATTTTCTGTGTAAACTTTCACCGAAAATACAATCGAATATTATTTTTAAAAAACTTTAAAAGTTTTAGTTTAGACAAAACAGCATGCCCTTTTCCATTAGAATTTGAATGTTCATTCAGCATAAGACAGTTCATGAAAGTTTTACAAAGGCACCCCATATTTATCTTCAATGAACTTCAATTAATTTTGAATATATACCTCTAATTATTTATGCGTTTCTCACAGGCAATATCAGTTTAAAGTGCTTTCTAAATATTACAGTGCGTGATTTTAGAGCAAGAGCAGCTTTAACAATTTTCTATTCCAGTTTTCTATCCCTTTCCTTCCTTTTTTTTTAAGTAATGAGAAAAACGTGGTAAAAAAAAAAAATTATCCAAATTCACGTCTGCTTAGTAAAACTAAGACTGAGATTCAAATTTTTTTATTTCTAGTGCACTGTTTCTTTTGTGATTGTTTTTTATAATCTTACCATTGTTTAATGTCCATAGTGATTATCACCAACTTATTTTTAGTAGCCTTTTCCACAGTACTTACTGAAACTATGATAAAATTTTGAATGTATGCGTATATATATAGGGGGCAGTTCTGCTCTGTCCTGTGGGGTCATTCTGAGTTGGAATTGACTTGATGGCAGTCGTTTTTTTTGGGTTTATATATATATATATATAAACATTACAACAGTACAATACAATCAGTTAATATGCTCAATTCTCAAGTCCTTATTAAAACCAAAAAAAAAAAAAAAAACCAAACCTGTTGCCATCGAGTCAATTCCGACTCAAGTCCTTATTAGGGGGCTTCATTTTTTGAAGGACAGAGTAATGTAGTTCCCAAATGTGTGGGGTTAAATTGTTAGGGTCATAACCAGCTCTCAGCCTCTCTGTGCTCATGTGTAAAATGAAGGTTATAGTGATGTCAACCTCCTTGGGTTTTTCATTCAACAGATATTTATTGAAACCAACTATGTGTTAGGAAACCCTGGTGGCATTGTGGTTAAGAGTTCAGCAGCTAACCAAAAGGCTGGCAGTTCAGATCCACCAGGCAGTCCTTGGAAACCCTATGGGACAGTTCTACTCTGTCCTACAGGGTTGCTATGAATCGGAATCGACTCAAGGGCAATGAATTTGGGATTTTTTTTGTTTGTTTTTTTAATGTGTCGGGTACCTTCTAGACACTGGGGACATAGCAGTGAACAAAACAGACAAAACCCCTGCTCACAAGGAGCTTACAGTCTAACGGAGGGAGACAGACAATAAACACAATAAACAAGTAAACCATATAGTCTGTTTGCAGCATGGGTGGTGCAAGCGGTAATGCATTTGCCTGCTAACCAAAAGGTTGAAGGTTTGAGTCCACCCAGAGGCACCCCAGAAGAAGGGACTGATTCTCTACTTCTGAAAAATCAGCCATTGAAAACCCTATGGAGCACAGTTTTACTGAGACACGCATGGGATTGCCATGAGACAGAATCAACTCAACAGCAACTGGTTTTTATAGTATGTTTGAAGGTGAAAAATGCCATAGAGAAAAACAGAGCAGAGTAAAGGGGATGGGAGTGCTGAAGAAAGGGAGGAATACAATTTTAAACAGGTAGGTCAGGGTAGGCCTCACTGAAAAGATAAATTTGAGCAAAGGCTTTTAGGAGGTGACGAAATGGGCCATGTAGATGTGGGGGAAGAGTGTGCTTTGTGGGTTCAAAAAAGAGCAAGGAGACCAGTGTGGCTGCACTTCTCCAGTGAGGGAGGTAGGAAGGAGGCGATGAGGTCAAAGAGGCAGAGAGGTGGGAGTCAATTGAGTAGGGCCTCGTGGACCGTTGTTAGAACTTTAGCTTTTACTGTACGTGGAATGGTAGTGTGTGGCATTGGAGGGTTTTAGCGAAAGAGTGACATGATCTCCTTTTTAAAAGAATCACTCTGGCTTTTGTGTTGAGAATAGACTTTAAGGGGACAAGTGTGGAAGCAGAGAGGAAGCAGTTACAACAATCCAGACCAAGGTGGTAGCAATGGAAAGGGTAAAAAGATGGTTGAATTTTAGATAACATTTTAAGAAAATAGAGTCAACAGCATTTGCTGATGATTGGATGTAGGTATAAGAGAAAAGAGAAGTCAAGGTTTTTGGCCTAAGTATGGAATTGCCACTCCTTAAAACAGGAAAAGACTGTGGTAGGAGCAGGTTTTAGGGAGGAGATGAAGGACTTCAGTTGTGACTTAATTAGACATGCAGGTGGAGATACAGAGTTATCAAAAACATAGATGAGTGTAGAGTTTGGGGGATAGGTGCCGGCTGGAGATATACTGAAGGAGTTGTCATAGCGAATTTTAAAGCAGTGAGAGTAGATGATATCACGAAGAGTTTGGAATATGGAGTCAGACTACTGAGTACCACCACTTGTTAGCTGAGTGACTTTGGGAAACTCACTTAACTTCTCTGTGACTCAGTCTCCCCATCTGTAAAATGAGAATAATAATAGCTACCTCATGGGGTTGTTGTAAGAATTAAAATCACTAATATCTGTAAAACTCTTAGAACATGGTGTATGGTCAATAAACATTAACTGTTAATTTTTTTTTTTTATTGTACTTCAGGTGAAGGCTTACAGAACAAATAGTTTCTCGTGAAACAGTAGTACACATATTGTTTTATAACATTGGTTAACAACTCCACAACATGTCAACCCTCTAACTTCTCTACCATTTTTTTTGGTGAAAATACACATAGCCAAAGATACACCATTTCAAAAATTTCTACATGCACAGTTCAGTGACATTGACTACGCTCTTCCAATTGTGCTGTTATTCTCACCTAAGATGAAGACTTACAGAACAAAATAGTTTCTCATTTAACAGTTACTACAAATGTTGCCCTATGACAATGGTTAACAATCTCACAACACATCAGCAGTATCCTTACTCAACCTTGGGTTCCCTATCACCAGCTTCCTTGTCCCCTTCTGCCTTCTGGCCCTTGTCACTGAACTCCTGTACCTCGTTAGTCTCATTTGGTTTTACGGGGCTGTCCACTCCCAGGCTGAACAGTGAACCTCGGAGATAACTTCACCACTGAGCTAAAAGGGTGTCTGGGGGCCATACTCTCTGGGTTTCTCTAACTGTTAATTTTTATCACAACTACCCTGTGTCTGTGGGACTTCACAAGTACTTTCTTTGACTCAGACTGTTGTTAACACAGCTTTTCTTAATGTGGGGTTGTCTTATTTTTGGTTGTGATTGTTAATTGCCACTAGAAGTTCAACTGAGTTGGTTTTACTTCCAGAACTAAGCTGACCTGTGTTTTTTATACTAGCACTGCCTCCATTGTTGACTGATTTATTTACTTTTAAAGCCTGTATGTGTTTTAGAATCTGTTACTTGTTCAGAAAAAAATCTTACGTGTTTCTTCAGTTCTGCTTTCCTTTGCTTTCCTTAGTGCTCAGCAGAGGAGCAGTCAGGTTCACAAGAAAAACACAATCGGAAATCAGGTAGGAATTGTACAAGAGAGTCAGTGAATGCATGCTCAAGGCAATTTTAACTAAATCGCTTGATTGACTGTTTCTTAAATGCAAATTAATCATGTGCAAATTGTGCTTGAAATGCAGCTTTTTTGTTTTGTTTTTGTTTTTAGAGTTTTTTTTTTCTTTTGGAGTGAATTGCTTTTTTTCTTTTTTTTTTTTTGCTACTGTATGCAGTTAACCATATTGATTTATTTTAAATAACTTTTCTGCTACTTGGCTCTGCTTGTCAAATCTGGCTCCTTGTGTCCTGTTTTGCCTGCTTACATTACCCCTAAATTTGATTTAACCTTGAATCTATGAGTCAATTCAAGGTTAAAATATGGTGAGTAGTTGCATGAGCTTTGTGGTGCTGCTGACTAGTTCACACATTTGCACAGCTTGGTAACAGTGAAGGGACAGCTCATAAAGAAGGCAGTTGTTGGCCTTAATCTCTGCCACCAAATTCCTGCTGGCTAATGAAGACGTTAATTCCTATGAAGATCTGATCCTTTGAGCTTTTGTGTTCTGGGCTGACCGGCTGTCTCCGACTAATAGTGCTCTGCAGAGATTGCGTTAACTGCGACAGTTTGCTGTTTCTTTTACGTTTTATGTGATAATAAGTATTTGCATTGTTATTTCTTTTCAAGTCAAAACAATGATGATTTATAGTAGTTTCTTTTTTTAAATCAGAGGTACAATTATTAAACAAATTGAAACTTGTGCTCTAGATTTTTCCCCCATTGTTTTGAAAGGAAAAGAGGTAATAACAGACTTTTCTTTAAAAACGTTTTTTCTGAACTAAAGCATATAATTCTTTGCTATTTCAGGGAACCAATCTTCCGCCTTCAAGGCAAATTGTACGAGCTAAGTTCTGTAAGCTTACTGTTGCTTTTTCATTTAGCTTCCCAAGGGCACAGTTTGTCTTTAACTGATTAACTCAACTAGCGCTTGCTACTAATTTTTTTTTTAAACTTAGATTGTCTTGTCCATAACACGCTATCATTGAAATAAAATCCTCTTAAGAGGGTTCATCCCTTCACTGCTAATAACTTGCTGTGATTTAAAGGTATGAACTAGTAAATTCTAAAATGCTGTAGTAATCAACTCTTAACACTGTGGGTGCTTTGATATTTCTCTAATTTTAATGGACCTAAAAATAATTAAAATCATTAATGATCTTCATCTCTGTCCTTTTATGCTATGTTGTTATAGACTTTAAGCCTTTCTGTTCCCCATGCATGATTATATTTCCAATAAATGTAGATGATGCTTCTGAAAGTTGGGTGAATATTGAGCATCTGATTTTGGTGTACTTGTTGATATGCCTATCTAACTCCAATTATTTGCATTTATTTTTTTAAAAAAACAATAAAACAAAGTTCTGTTGATTGACATTTTATATGGTTTTTGAGTTGAATCTTTTAAAACCAGATTCTATATATTCATTTTATAGAAGTTTAAACACACTATGACTAGCATAGGCAAATTTGGTTTTGTCTGTTTTTTTAACAATTATATTCTCATTTCTTCCATGACTGAAAAAGCAGCCTTAATGTCTTCCTTCCAACTATGCACCAGTTCAGAATAAGATTGGAGCATGGTCAGTTAGGTGCCCCCTGGTGTTTTGGAAGAGGAGCCCTGGTAGCGCAGTGGTTAAAGCGCTTGGCTGACAACCGAAAGGCCAGTGGTTAGAACCTATCAGGCGCTCCTCGGGAGAAAGATGTGACAGTCTGCTTCTGTAAAGATTATAGCCTTGGGAACCCTTATTGGGGTCTGACCTATAGGGTCGCTATGAGTCGAAATTGACTCGATGGCAATAGGTTTGTTTTTTGGTTTTGGTATTTTGGAAGAAGCAGACTTTGGATCCAGACATTCCTGGGTTCAAATTCTGCTCTGCCACTTACTAGCCATCTGGCCTTGGACAAATTGAGCCTCAGTCTGCTCAACTGTATGATGGGGAGAAGAGAAAATATCTCTGCAGGGTGATTGTAAAAATCAGAAACCATGTACATAATCAGATTTGCAGCCTGGTACTGGACGTGTGTTCTGCAAAGAGTAGAAACCTTGCTTCCAGCAGGTAGGCGCTGCTTCTTGAAGCTTCTGGGAGAAAAAAAAAAAAAAATTGAGTACAAAAATTATAAAAGCTGTAAAACAAGGAAAATGAAACACATGGGAAAATTTGAAACTATGGCAAATTATTCTGGTGACTACAATGAACAGATTAATGCTGGGTGTGGCATGAAGGGTCTACCTATAAACCTTTCCTCGTGGTCAGAAACATCTCTAGCTCACAGAAGGATGTGCATATAGGAAAAACAATAGTATAATGTCATAAAGGCACACTTTAAATAGGACCTAAAAGGAAACTGGAAATAGCTTTCAGTAATACTATTTCCAAATGTTAAAATTGTGCTAATTCTGTGTCTGTGACTTTATTTTTGCCGAGTACTTCAAAACCAACACATTTTTGAATTTTTATAACTCAAGATAATAGAATTGTATTAGGTTGTAATATAGTAGAGATTTCTTGTCCAAAACCCTTGGGGCCTGATGTGTCTTGAAAGTCAGAGTTTTTTTAATTTTAGAAAGATAATACATTGCATATATCATGTATTACCTAATACCCCTGTGGGGTCAGAGGCATCACCCTGTAGTCCAATACATTGTATTTCTTAGTGAAGCAAATGAATAATCACACCAAGTAGATTAAATGAAAGATACAAATAGCTTTATTCCAGGTCAGTTTTTGCAGCCAAATTTGTTTTTTAAAAAAAGCAAAAACTTACAGTTTTGCAAGTAAGGGAATACGGACCTAAATATTTTATTTTCCAGAATCAAATCCAATGATTTACATGCTATACAATATTATATTTTAAGGAATTCTTTATATTGTTTTCCTGCTTACTGAAAGTGAAGCATAATGATTTGAGACCATTTTCTTTATTAATCTGATTATCTGATGTTGATTTGAGTTTTTGCCTATCCAGAGGCTCAAAGCCAGGGAGCCTTGGAGCCCAGCCTGCTGAACGATGCTGGCTTGTATGGTTGGTGAGGCTGAAACATCCTGCGATATCTTAGCATCTGGCTCATCCATTCTAGTATCTTCTTAGGGCTCCTGGTTGTAAGAGCTGTACAGCATCTGTTCTGAAGAAATTTCAGAAGGATTTAAGGAAAGCTAAACTTCTGTAAAGTCTAACACCAGCCGTTTTTGTCTGCCTAGCAATTTAATAGTTCCACAAGTTGATGCCAGCAAATGTACAAAAAAACGTGAACACGCAGTTAAATAGCCTAAAATTGGACTATCAAAAATTTAAATTTAAACTTCATCTGCTCACTCATTAAACATGTGTTTGAAACCCATGCGTGCCAAAAATTGTGGTGAGTGTTTAGAACAGAAAGATGAGTGAATCACGGGCCCTGTCCTCAGGGAGCTCACAGTCCAGTGGGGATGATGGTAAGTAAGCAAATTGAAGTCTGCCCTCTCTTTCAAGGCTAGCTCCTTTTGATCCTCCAGGTCTCCCTGAAATGTCATTTCTGCAAGAGGTCGGCCCTGAATATTGGGTCTAAAGTCCCCACCTTCCCCAGTGTCTTACCTCTATTGCATTTTATTATTTGAAATAATCTGGTTCATTTTGTTCATCTTCCTTCACTAGGACATAAACTCTATGAAAGCTAACTTTGTGATTCTGAAAGTATCATTGTAAGATTTTAAGCAGGATCGTAATAACATTTTAGAAAAATTATTCTGTCTGTAGTGTGGAGAAAAGGTTTTGAAGGGGGGATAAGACTGGAAAAAGGAGACTAGTTAAGAGGCAGTTGCAGATGAGATTATGGTGGTCTGGGCTAGGGCATTTATACTGTTTGAGAAGAAGCAGATGAATTCAAGCGATACTAAGTGGAAGAATCCATAGGATTTATTATGGAAGGAAGAGAGGGCTGGGGAATTGTCAGGGATGCTATCCAGATTTTTGACTTAGGCAACAAGTAAGGCAGTGGTGGTCTTCATGGAGAAAGGAACATAGTGAGGAAGTCAGATTTGGATCCAGAGTCAGGATGCGTGGATTTGTTGAGTATGATATCCAAGTGTAACTGTCCAATGGGAGTTGGGTAGAAGTGTCTAGAGTTCAAAAGAGACAATTATTTATTTCATAGACAGTGGGGAACCACTGAAGGATTTCTGTTAGGGAAAGGGATATCATCTGACTTGTATGTTAGAAAGATCTATGTGTCAACTATATCTAAAGGTTTGGAAGAGTAAAACTAGAGATATGGAAATTGGTGAAGATGTTATGTAAGTAATTCAGGTAAGAAAATACAAAGGTCAGTAGCAGTAGGTATGGAGGAGAGGGGCAGATTCAAAATATATTTAGAGGGTAGAGTTGGAAGGAGCCCTGGTGGCACAAGGGTTAATTGCTAGGCTGCTAACCAGAAGGTTGGCATTTCATATCTACCCAGTGGCTCCATGGAAGAAAGACCTGGTGATCTGCTTCTGTAAAGATTGTAGCCAAGAAAACCCTGTGGGGCAGTTTGAGTCTGTCACTTCGGTTCACTATGAGTAGGAATCAACTTGACGGCACCCAACAACAACAACAGACTTGGAAGGAGTTAATGAGTAGTCGTGGGAGGTACTGAAAGGGATTAAGTCATCCTTCCAGACTTATGGCTAAGAGAATCCACTGACAAAGGGAGTGCAGGAGAAGGAGGAGCAGGTTTCAGGGGAGATGGAGGGAGAAGATGATGATTTCAGTTTGGGATATTTTGTTTGTGCCTATGGGAGAGATCAGTAGGGGTTCAGGACTCATCTAGACTGGAGACATAAATTTTAGAGTTGTCCATATATGCATGGTAGCTAAAGCTGTGGCACTAAATGAGATCACTAGCAAATGATGAGAGCATAGAAGGAAATATGGATATAAAGGATGATGGAGAAAGAAGAGCTGGGACAGGATGAGGAACTAAAAAGGAAAGTAAGTGCCGAGAGTGTAGGAAAACTTGGAGAGTAGTAGAATGGAAGTCAAGGAAAGAATGTTTCAAGGACGGAGTAATTAATAGTATTAGATGTTTCTGAGAGTTCAAGAGACATGGCAGAGTTGACAATTGGACTGGTAGAAGGCCCTGTGCAGTGTTGGGGACCACCTGAGTGTGTAGCAGTGACACCAGTCCTTTTAGTTGTATGAATTGCTCTTCTGCTTCACAGCTGGAAGGTAGCACAAAGCCGAGAAAGCTAACAACTTAATTGATATACTGAGTTTGGGTTTTTCTAGGGGGGGCATCATGTAAGTTCAAGAGGGCAGATGAGTTAAAGCTTTAAAGAGAGATGGGTTGAAGTAAAGAATTACATAATCTAATATGAATGGTCTTGATTGATGCATTAGTTAGGATAGGCCAGCTAAGTAACAAACAACCCCAGAATTTCACTAGCTTAATGTGATAAAAGTTTGATTCGCCTTGGTGTAACAATCCAGTGAAGATGGACCAGGGTGGAGGGCATCCCTCCCTCACATGGTCAGACAGGGACTTTGGAATCCTCTTCACTCTTCCAGCAGGTGGGAAAGAGAAAGAAGTTCCAGTGAGGGAGATTTTGAAGGACCGGCCTGGATGTGGCACACGTGACTTCCATTCACATTCTGTTGACTCAGTCATTTGGCCTCAATGAACTGCAAGGGAGATAAGGAACTATGATCTGAGCATGTGCCCAGGAAGAAGAAGAGACGAAAGGAAATGGGCAAGCCAGGGCAATGGAGGTTTTACTGAAGTCAGAGAAAATGGGTACCAGGATTAAGGGAAAGAGGCTATAGGGTTGGAGTTTAAAGTTAGTGGGATGTCATATTTAAGGTTTACAAAGAGAATGCCACCT